CGCAACCTCATAGGCTTGTCTAATTTAAACATAGCAATTTATGAAATTATAACAACATGCATAATAATACAACAATAAATTAAAACAATTAGATATACTACATAATTTAGAAAAAAAATTAAAAAATTTTTTAAAAAATATAAATAAGAAGTAAATACGGAAAGAGAAAAAAAAATTAATTTTTTTTAAAAAAATAATATTATAATATAATAATAATATAATATTAAAATCGGGTCGGGTCGTGGATCCGAGCCGGGTCGGAACCGACCCAGGTCAACGGACCCGACCCATCGCATTGACCCAGGTCGGATCTCCGGATTTAAACCAGGTCAGGGGTCAACCCGGGTCCCAAGCCGGATCGGGACCGGTTAAGGCCTGGTCTGGCGGAAAATGCCAAAATAGGGCCGGCTCGACCGGGTCGAACCAGCCCTATTGGGCGAACGAATCGGTCCGGCTGGGCTGCCGGCTCGTTCAGGCCAAAATCCGAGCCTTTAAGCTCGGGAGGCCATCGGCCGGGCAAAAATTCGGCGATTTGCCGGCTGTTTCGCCCGGCCTTTGGCTTTAGTCTCATCAGCTCTTAAGGCTGAAGAGACTGGGGGCGATGGGTCAACGGATGGCTGGCCGGGGGGAGTCGCCGGCCGAGCTCCAACCGGGGCTCGTTTGAGCCCAAACGTCGGTCGGAGCTTGGCCGGCGAACCCAGGTCATACTTGACCTCACCCGGCCTCTAGTGGCCATCCCGGAGCTTCTCCAGGGTCAAACAATTCTCCGGCCAGCCTCGGCACTGCCGGCCGGAGCCCAAACAAAACGGGCCCCTATTGGGCATTTCATCAAACAGTTGGAGTGCGGGACTAAAACAGGGGCATTTTGGCCTGTTCCGAGGCCTCTCCGTCCTCCGGAGACCTGTCTTTACCTTCGGCGACGACGTAAGATCTGTGGGGGACAACGGTATGGGCTGGGATTCGCGCTAAACGGCCGGCGCGAGTCCCGACCAAACTGGACGCCAAAACAGGGCAAAACAGGGGCAATCAGGGTCGGGAGAGGCTCACCGGTCGACGGCACATCTGGGGGGATCTCCGGCCGATCTGGGGGCGACGGCGACGCTGCTGGATTCTTTCTCGCGGCCGGCCAACTCTTAGTATGCTCTCTCTCTCTCTCTCTCTCTCTCTCTCTCTCTCTCTCTCTCTCTCTCTCTCTCTCTCTCTCTCTTTTTATTCTCTCTCTTCTCTCTCTGTTCTCTCAAAACGGCCGACCGGCCTCTCTCTCTCCGGCTATATATAGCCGCGCTGGCCACGTGGCATGCCCCTCGCTCCATTACGTGCAGCGACGATGGTCTCACTGTACCGCCTACCCCCTGACCCGCGACTTTCGCGGCCATTTAGACCGGTGCAGAGGGGGGGGCCGATTCTGTGAGGAGGGGCAGAGGAAGAAGGAGAGAGAGAGCCCGGGAAATGGGGAAGGAGGGGACTGGCCATCAATGCCAGTCCCCTTGGCGTGCTTCGTCGACCATCCTCTGTGTCGATGGGGACAGCGCGGCCGCGCTCGTCCGCTCGTCGAGTCGACGTCAGAAACAGAGGAGAACAGGGGAAGGAGAGCGACAGGCCGGTGGGGGGAAGAAGGAAGAAGGAAGAGAGTTGGGCCGGGCCGGGCCCAGCTCGCACGGGGGAAAGAAAAGGAAGAAAAAAAGAAAAGGGCCAGGCCACGTGGGGGAAGAAAAGAAAATTGGCTGGCCGCGCAGGGGGAAAAGAAAAAAGAAAAAAAGAAAAGGGTCGGGTCGACCCGGCCAAACTCGATTTTTTTTTAATGTTTTTTAAAATGCTCTAATAGACACTATTAATACAAATGTACCTAATTTCTATATGCAATGCATTTAAATAGAAATATTTTTTTGTTTTAGGAATTAAAGAAAATTAACTCCTAAATTTTGTACAATTAGTTTTGGGTAAATTAAAATAGGTGTCAACACAATGCATCTTAGCGGCAATTGGAAGCCACGAAAGCTCAAATCCATAAACCATATGTTCATGGATTTGGGCATAGGAACGAAGATCATCACCATCAACTCACCCAGGTATCATTGCCATAAGCTCTATAGTGCATGCAATTTCCACATACGAGACATTCGCATCCACCATGGCATATAATCGCCTTCTTGTACCCGAAAAATTCGAAAATTCGACCCCATCAAGGCACGACGAAGTGTCAATGTAAAACCGAGAAGCAACAGCCTTCGAGCAGTTCACGATCGAAACGGTCTTGGATAACTCTCGACCATAGAACTTGTATTCCCCGCATTCATATGAATTCGGTTGGAGCCAGGAGCTGCGACACGACAAAGAGCGAAGAGGAAGGGACGAGCAATCACCCTTTTGTAGCCCGACATCAGCAACCCAAATCGTGTAGTTGGTATAGTCAATGGAATGTACATAGTACTTGCCCGAGTACAAATCGAGAATAGTGCGGTTATTTATGCAGGCTAGCTCATAGTTAGGATCACCGCAAATCGTCGGGTCGCCCCTTAGTCGAAACGGGAAACTTATGTTGGCGACCTCGCCACAAGAGGTGGTGCATTGATTATTTTCGATGGCGATACTAAAAGACCGCGGTAGAAGTAGAAGAAGAAGGAGGAGGAGTTGATCTTTGTGCATCGCTTATGCAATAGGAGGGAGCACGAATCAACTCAGCAAAATTCAGGGTGTTTAGTGTGGAGATGAGAGGAGCAATGTCCGACTACAAACTTCATTGTGTGGAGGTGAGTGATTTGGGGTTGTAGCGACCAACAATAATGGGACGTATGAGATTTGATAATGGTCGGCTGAAAAGTCAGAGCCGGTGTACGTTCGAGGCAATAACGGACTGCGAAATTATTATCAAATTCGATTAACGTGCATGAGCAACCGAAGATCGGAAAAAAAGTCAAAAGCTCATGGCTTGCGAACCATCCTGGAAAAGCTCGTAGAAGATTATCTGGGGAAGGTGCAAACCAGGTGTCATCATCGTCGACCATGATGGCTCAAAATTCAAAGAAGCTCCAGCAACAAGCGCATCCACCTTTTTCGGGTCATTCTGAACACTCGCTTTCCTGCTCAGTTCATATTTAAATTGGCAAAACACTTTAGTAAGTTATTTAAAGTGTACTAATAAAGGATTTAGTAAGTTATTAACGAAAAGAACGATGACGGGTCATGAACTATCGAAACGGGTATTTTGCTCCACTAGATTGTCGTGGACCCCCGCCTAGTGCAGGTTGTGTGCGAGTTGTGTTTTGAAGCAAAGACTCCGAAACCCGAACTTGCTCCTCTTAACACTATGTTGAAGGTCGTCATTAGCTTTTCCGGAGGATTCGAAAGTCGAACATAACTAATGAAATCTTTAATCTGATAATGCTAAAGATGATACGGGCATAATTAACGCCCATAAATATAGTCATATATACATCTAGAAGATGACCGTGATCAGATGTCTTTATACTTGAGTAATACTAGTAATAGCATACTCAAAATGAGCATCTTTATAAGTTATTGCGCTAGTTGATAAAGGGGATATAGTATCTTTGCGTTCGTGAGTCCAAGTTCAGTCATCCCTCGTTGACATTTCTGCTAGATAAAAGAGTGGCTTGGGCATATTGTCTACACTTCTCCTTCTAGCAGTTTCAAGACTTCGTGCATCGCAGGGCTTTCACTAGGATTCCATTGTATGCACCATCTTCTTTGCTATTCTCCTATCCTCCTCGCTAACTTCTTCCACTGGAATGTCCAATCCTTCACTAAGGTGGTCATGAACCCATAAAAGAAAGTAAATATGACTAGAACACTTTGCAACCACATCCCCATTCTTCCTCCAACTGGCCATTTCCATCAACTATTTGCTGAAACTAAAGACAACATCTTTGTCAGAAACGCCCCCTAGGTTCTTAGTGTGTCGCGACTTGAAATTTTTCATGTAATTTGAACCTTGAATGAATAAATAATTTAACTTCACTTTAATTCTGTGATGAATAACTAATTTATCATCAATCATACAAATAATTTAACCTCGGCTAATATACATCAAAATCTTCTCTACAAAAACATGTCTCCACTTTCATTGCCCACTTTGATCCAATTCTTACAAGTAATCTTCAGAAGCGTTAATCTAAAAGCCCTTGAACTCCGAACTTGAACAATCTGTAAAATATATTGGGATGAGTATAAGCTTAGTAAATGAACTCTTTAGGTTTAAAATAGGAGATAATCTTACCACTCAACCTGGAAGCACAACAACATCATAACAACCAATGAATAATATCACATATCATTTCATGGAGCCACTATAATTTAGGAAATGTCAATCCCTCAATTTGGTTAGAGTACTATATAAATTGAACTTATTCCTCAATTATTTACATATTCATAATAGAATTTTTCGATCACCTTAAGGCATGTATCCTACACGATTCAAGTACTTGCATCCCAGTCCATCTATGACATGTTAACCCTTTCAGCTTCTATGAGTACATAATTAATAATCCAACTGAGATTTCACACATGCCATTCAAAACCCCAAATGAATTATTTATTATGTTTATATCCTAAATTGTTGTTAACTAATATAGAAAATTTGGGATGTCGCATATAAACTAGCTCTAGAGCCATGTGTCTTAAGGTTACTCTTGCAGTAGTTAGAGGCACGGTGTTGTATTCCATGGGATACAATCTCATGAGTGCGAAGTCAGAAACTTTTGGGGTGAAATCTCTATCGAAAAGAATGTTGTGAGGCTTTATATCAAAGCGTAGAATTTGCATATTGCATCCTTGACGAAGATATTCGATCACTCTAGCCAAAATTACGTGTATTTTGTATTCTCGAGAGACTCATCTTTTGACTGCATAATGGGCATGGCCATATATACAGCCCATTTCCCACCATTACATGTAATCATGACTTGGAAAGTTTGTGAATTATGCGCTGATGTAAGAATAAGCACCGAAGATAGCACCGCACATTAAAGTTGAAGCACCTCTAGATAAATAATCAATGGACTTGATCCACTCAACAGCTAATTGGCGAATTAAATGCACCGATTATAAAGCGAGTATCTTAGTTCCTAGGTGCTAATTGCACAAGAAGCCGATGGCTGATCGTTTGAACTGATTTCCAAAACCACGGGACCGGAATGTTGTGAGGCCGCCGTGCCGAACAAACGAAGTCAATTAAGAACAAAGAGCCAAACCGCTTGGACTGAATGATTACTCCAATAGCATTTACATAGATTGCAGAAACAGAGAAGATATATATGCAAGCAATCACTAATCAGATGAGTCTCCACGACTAAATCCAAAATGTTTCTATCTGATTATACAGACATGTTCAGCGAGACAAAATGTAGAGAAAACTCGCAGAGAGGCCAGACATTGTCTGCGAGTGCCTCTGCTTTTCGCATAGCATCTTCAAACCTCTTCCCACACCTGTCCAGCACGTCGCATATCTTGTTTGTCGGACCTCCAAACACTAGCAAAGTGTCAGCCTCATCAACACCATTCTCAAAAGCCGAATCATCAACCACAACACAACTTCAAACTCGAAAATGCGCCTCGATAGACCCACTTCTGCCAGACAGACGGGTCCTCGCCGCCCCAATGCCAGAGCCAGAGGCCGAGCCACTTGGGGTGGCATTCAAGTAGCTGGAGGGAAAGCTCGCTAGGCGAGCCTCGCCGGCGATCCAGGTGGCGGCGTGCTGGTTTGCAGGATGCGCCCTGGGCTCCACCGGCGTCCCCACCACGCACGTGCTGCACCGCGTCGCCGCTGATTCGCCTCCGCCGCTCATTGCCCTCTTCTTCGTCTTCTTCTTCTTCTCTCACACAAGTGTCGAGAAACTATCGCGCAAAACGAAGAGAGTGGAGATGGAATTTAGAAATGAGGAGGGAGATCTCAATAAGATCACGGGGATAAACGAAAAACACGATCTTTCTTATATTTCGGATTTGGTCAACTAAACTTTTTGTTATTTTCTCTTTGTATCCCAAAATCAAAGAAACTGTTATCGCAAAGTGCTCTTTGGAATTTTTGGAGGCCAAAAACAGAGAAATTGTAAATGATGCAACTCAGTATTCTATTCTTTCTTCTTTCCTTATTAATCAAAAAATAACCTCACTTACCACTAAATAACCTTAGCAACCCTCGTAAAAGATAGAAGAATTTAATTAATCTCACCTGGCACTGTTACTAAGAGTGAGATCATCTTTTGATGTCTCCCACTATACTTTAATTTAACTTCTAATTAAATTAAAATAACCTCACTTACCACTAAATAACCTTAGCGTGAGTTGTCTGCTACTTGGGTTTTTAGACAGAGAATTCGAAACCCAAACTGGCTTCTCATAGGATTACCTTAAAAATCGTCACTAGGCTTACTATTATAATCGATAGTCCAAATTATAGTTAATGACATTATAAATATGGTAATGCTAGAGATGATATGGTCACAATTAAGATACAAAAACATAGTTATAAACATATACAATCCAATAATGGCCAAGAAAGGAGACCTACATCAACAATATTGCCTGTTTCTATTTGCCACATGTGTCACGGGATCAAATTTTATCAACACGACTCTATATTTGTGTAATACTAGTGCTGGTATGCTCAAAATGATAATCTTCGTAAGTTATTTCACTAGTCGATGAAGTGGATATAGTATATTTGCCATTGTCAGTCCAACTTCCATCATCTCTTGTTGACATTTCTGTTGGATAAAAGAGTGGCTTGGGAGGTATTTGTAGATCATCTACTTCTCCTTCGAGCATTTCCAAGACTTTGTGCATCGAAGGGCGTTCACTAGGACTCAATTGTATGCACCAAAGAGCAACTATTATCATCTTCTTTATTATTCTCCTATCCTCCTCGCTTACTCCTTCCACTGGAACGTCCAATCCTTCACTAAGTTGGTCATGGACCCATAAAGGAAAGTAAATCTGACTGGAACACTCTATAATCACATCCACATTCTTCCTCCCACTGGCCATTTCCATCAACAATTTGCCGAAACTATAGACATCCGCTTTGTAAGAGACACCCCCAAGGTTCTTGAAGACCAACTCTGGAGCCATGTATCTCAAGGTTCCTCTTGCAGCAGTCAAAGACACAGTGTTGTAGTTCGTGGGATACAATTTAGCGAGCCCGAAGTCAGAAACTTTTGGGGTGAAATCTATGTCGAGGAGAATGTTGTGAGGCATAATATCAAAGTGTAGAATTTGCATATCGCATCCTCGATGAAGATACTCGATCCCTCTAGCCACTCCGAGAGCAATTTCGTACACTTCCCTGTAATCAAGAGAAGTCCCCTCTCCTCGTGAGAAAATGTGCTTATCTAAAGACCCGTTGTGCATGAAATCATAGACAAGAGCTTGTTTCTATCCCTCAAAACAAAAACCTATGAGTCCAACCACATTAACATGATGAATTCTTCCGATGGTAGCCACTTCGCTGATGAAGTCCTGCCCGTTCGCTTTTCCCTTCTTCAAAATCTTGACTGCCACCTCGCGGCCGCTCCGAAGCCTTCCTTTAAACACGGAGACATACCCTCCCTCACCTAGTTTGTCCTTAAGACCCCTCGTGATTTTCTTGATGTCCGAATAAGAGTACCTTATCGGCAAGAAGTTATTATTAGCTTGCAAAAATTCTTCAACATTTTGATCCATTGCTAAGTGTTTTCTTCTCCATTTGCGTATTAGCAACATCGTCACGCATGGGGCTCCCAAGATGAATTTCACAACCATGCACGGAAACACTGTATTTTCGATAACCAATTTGTGGGTGTGTTAAATGTTTGTATTTAGAAATATTAAGTCAATTTCACAACAAGTAGACTGTAGTAATGTTACCGATGCCAAAGAGTGAGAGCATCCAAACAAGGTAACGGTTGATCCGTCTTCCGCAAGAGATTTTGAATTTGTAACAAGTGAAAGCTGAAGAACATTTAAAAGACTTATTTAGACCATAATCAAGCAATGAGCATATTGGTTCAATCCACTAAGATTTGTGGGCAGAAATCGAACTAAATAGATAAACAAATGAATAAATTATGTATTTATTGTTATACGAATAACCAATTTGTGGGTGTGCTAAATGTTTGCATTTAGAAACACTAACTTGATTTCGCAATGAGAAGATTGTATATTCGTTACCGATGCTATAGCGGGAAATCCCTTCAATAGAGGAGACGATATAGGAGAGGTAAGGGACGGCACCTGCAAAAGAGATAGAATATGTGACAAGTGAAAGTCGAAGAAAATAAGAGACACTTATTTAGATCATGATCAACCAATGAGTAATTGAGTAGATCAAGTTCAATCCGCTAAGATTTACAGGCGGAGTTCGATTTACTTATATTAACAAATGAATAAAAGTGTATTCATATTGTTATACTTATAAAATACCGTAACAACATTGAACTAACTACATGATCTTAATGGCCATTTTCGAATCACGTGGGCGCTGAAAGGATATACAGATTACCGAGCTCAGTTTCACGTTTAGATGAAATTTAACAGGTTTTTGACCAAATAAATCCTCGCAATATTTCTTTTTTTTTTAGGAAACTGAGCTAACTCAAAAATCCTTACCTTTCTTGGTACTGCACTGAATTTGGTGCTTGTTGCTGATGTAGCACTCAAAATAATCTTTGCAATAAATCTTACAGGCAATTGGAAGCCATGAAAGCTCAAACCCACAAATCATCAGATTATGAATTTGCGCATAGGAACGAAGATTGTCTCCATCAGCCCACCCTGGTATCATTGCCATATGCTCTATATAGTGCATGCAGTTTCCACGTTCGAGACACTCGCATCAACCATGGCATATAATCGCCTTCTTGTACTGGAATATTTTGAAAATTCGACCCCATCAAGGCATGATGAAGCATCAATGTATAACCGAGAAGCGACAACCTCTGTGCAGTTCACAATTGAAATGGTCTTGGATAACTCTTGACCATAGAACGTGTATTCCCTGCATCTATAGCGATCCGATTTGTAACCGAAGTAGCCACATGACAAAGAGCAGAGAGGAAGAGACGAGCAATTGCCCTTCCACAGCCCGACATCAGCAATCCTAATTGTGTAGTTGGTATAGTCGATGTACCATACAGAGTAATTGCCCGAGTACAAATCGAGAACAGTGTGGTTATTTATGCAGGCTAGCTCATAGTTGATGTAGCTAGCAAGGATCACCTAGAGGGGGGGTGAATAGGTCATCTTAAACAATTTTTATATAATTATGCGGAAATGAAAAAACACAGATGAGTCTGAATAAAATTCAGATTCAAGACAGATTGTATAGACGATGCTCTTGATGTGCAGAATGTAAAATAAGAGATAAGGGATAGAAAATCTGCACACAAGTTTATAGTGGTTCGGCTTATAGTAAGCCTACGTCCACTCTCCCACGCTGGCAGCCTACCGGCTGGATTTCACTATGTAATCAATGAGGAATTACAGCTTTAGAGTGACAGCACTCTTGTGTATGATAGGACTCTCTATCTCACACTAACACCCTTACAAAGTATCCCTCAAGATCTTAATTTTTGGCTCAGGAAGACAAGAGAAAATGATCGGAGTATGCTCAGACTTTGGACTTGTTGATTCTTGATTATGTATTTCCTTTTGCTGCTCGTTGATCTCCTTAAATACTCCTCTACTTCCAAACTAGCCGTTGGACAGCTATCAGAGAATCATCTTCCAATCTTCACCTTGGACAGATTTGTATAATAAGGATTGAGTAGCCATTGGATGACAGATTCTGAATCCCTCTGATTCTGATCGTCCATACAATCAGAATCTTGGTTTCCATAAGTAGAGTTTTTATCCGTTGTAATGCATATTTGTCGAAGTATTTGATTGTCAATCCATTATAGCCTTAGATTGAAACAATCAAAACTTTCATTCTGTGAAATCCATACCAGATCATTAACTATTATGTTTGGTTCTAAATTCTGCGTCTGCGTCTGAAGAAATTTTGCATATGCATCTGAAGAACTTCTGTGTCTGTGTCTTTTGCATCTGTGTCTGAAGAACTTCTGCGTCTGCATCTGAATAATTTCTTTGTCTGCATCTGAACAAATTCTGCGTCTGAATCTCAGAACTAAGATTATGTGGGTCTTCAATAAGGTATATAACAGCTTGTAAAATCTGAATAACTTCCTTCTGAGCTTCCAGAATATACATACCTGGAATAAATTAGTTCAGAATAAGTATCAGATTTACAATAACATGAAAGGTTTTGTCAACTTCAAAATCAATAGGAGTTTTCCTCAACAATCTCTCCCTTTTTTATGGTGACAAAACTTTCCTGCAGATTGAGTCAATTTGAAATTAATTTGGAAGTAAATAAGCATATTAAGCATATTAAGCGCATTGAGGCACAGATTGAGATTGAAAGAGCAAACTCTGTTGATATCTGTGTCTTTCTCTTCCTTTGTATATAACCTGCATATGATCCTGCGTATTAAAATTAGTATAGCAAATCTGCATATAATTTATCCCCCTTTTTGTCATCAGCAAAGATAATAGAGAGAATAAATCATTGATATTAAGCAATCAACCAGTCTAACAAGAATTGTTAGTAATATTATAGACCAAATGAAGAATAGATGATTTGGAGAGAAATGTTAAAAAGATCAGGCTATTTTTTAGAAGAGGTACGAATCAGTTGAAAATTTTCCAATATTGAAAGAGCCTCCTCAATTTTCGAACTGCATTGACCTATAGCCTTATCCATGTTGGATGAGCACATAGTAATGGCTTTCTCAAGTTCTGTTTTGTTTGCTGCTGCCTGAAGTTGTTGAGTCTTGTAGTTTTCCTCAACAATTCTCTGTAGATTCTTCATATCTTGTTCTAGAGCAGCTTGCTTTTCTTTGATCTCGAGCAGAATAGAGAGGATGTTCTGATTTTCAGTGGACTGTTCTTGGACATTATCTTGCTCAGATTGATCGTACCCTGTGGCTGCTTCTGGTGAAACCTCCCCCTGAACAGGTGCTTGATCTTCAGAAACATGTTCTTCTTGAATTGGTTCTGAAACATTTGGAGTTGGCTCAGAAACATGTTCTGGATTATCAGTGTGTCCTGTTTCAAAGTGCTCTGCTTCTGCTTCATCACTTTCATCATGCAGAAGAATTTTTCGTTTCTTTCTGTACACTTTGAGTGGGGTTGGAGAGTCAGTCTTCTTGCTGGCTAGACTAGTTCTTTTCTTTTGCCCTTTTTCTTTCTCACTTGTCTTTCCAACAGATTTTGCCTCTGACTATTGAGCCTCTTTTCCTCTTACTCTTTCCCTTACATCATCAAACTGTGTCATCTTAGAGAGCATTCTTTCTCCAACAAACATACATGGAACAAGGTTCGTGCGCATCTCATCACGAATAGATATTTTTAAGAACATGAAAATGCGAGAGATGAGAGCACCATATGGCAGTTGTCCTTTGTCCTTCTGCAATGCTCTGTACATATGGAAGATGATGATATGAGGAAGAGAAAAAGATTGACCTTTCAAGATAGCCCAAATGAGCTTGATTTCTGATTTGGATAGGTCAGTTTAAGAGGCTGCCTTGGGCTTCAAGCAGTTGATTATGATCTTATGCAAGATCACTGATCGTCTAGACAAGTAAGAGTAGGAAAGATGTCGCTTAGATCCTTGAGCAAAGTTTGGATTTTCAGAAGCCACCTTGGAAGCATCTTCAAGATTCACTACCAATGGAGTAAACTTGGAATGTTTTGCTCCAATTATTTTTGCCAACTCATCCGCTTTTAAAAAAACTTCTTGTCACCAACAGTGAATTGAATCTAGTTGGGTGACAGAATGGAAATATTGGAATAAAAGTAGGCAGTCAATTCAGCATAAACATTGGCAGATTGAAGGCAAAATTCATAAATCCCTAACTTCTCAAACAGGTGCTTTACTGAAATGCCAGCCTTCTCTAGGTAGTTGAAGTCCACAGTTCTATGGTTCATGACCCCTCGAGCAAGTAACAACTTATAACAGACATTATGCTCAGTATTCTGAACAATCCTCGTGTACCTGGCACACCAGATGCTATTCCCACCTTCATTTCAAAAATATCAAAAAATCGAGCATCATCATCAGGAACAACAAATTTTGAGGCACTTGAGGACTTAAGGCTTATATGAACAGATTTCTGTTCAGAAGGAGTAGACGATTCTCCAACTTTCTCCTTCCCCTTTCTGGAAGAAGGCTCTTTTGGGGTAGAGTTGGCTGGAACTTGTTCAGATTTAGTGCAATAAAGAGAATAATTTTGCACAAGATGTGCTTCAGAGTAAAAACTGTTGTCTTTCAGACAAGCAAGAAGGATCGACGCTAAAGTATTATTCCTTTTCAACCTTTGATAGGCTTCCCACACAAGTTTGATGCTACCGAAGCAAAAATCACTTTTACCGTACAATTTTGGTGGCGACGATCTCTGAGGTGGTGTCGCTTGAGAAGGGTCTTTATGATGGTCCAACTCTGTGTCTGAAATCTCCATATACTCCGCCGGTGCTGTAGACTTGGAGTCTTGGTTGAGAATGCGTGAAGATCTTCTCTTGAAAGGCATTTTGATTACTTTTTGGGCAGAAAGATTCGATCTTTGGAGGAAGAAGAGGAGAGTCTCTGAATATCGGAAGGGTTTTGAGAGTAAAAGATCGTACTGATAGGGTTTTGAAAAGTGACGGACAGGTTTATAAACTAGAAGGACGGGTTTTTGGAAAGAAAATTCATTTTTAGACAATATAAAAAGTAAACCCAAACATGTAGGAAGGAAATATGCTTTTTGAAGCATAAATAATCACAACAATATCATGATAATATTTTAAGCATACTTAATCAGA